TTTTTGTTTGTTTCTTATTTTTTTGAGATGGAGTCTCGCTCTGTCGCCCAGGCTCGAGTGCAGTGGCACGATCTTGGCTCATTGCAAGCTCCTCCTCCTGGGTTCACACCATTCTCCTATCTCAGCCTCCCTAGTAGCTGGGACTACAGGTGCCCGCCACCATGCCTGGCTAATTGTTTGTATTTTTAGTACAGACAGGGTTTCACCGTGTTGGCCAGGATGGTCTCGATCTCCTGACCTTGTGATCCACCTGCCTCAGACTCCCAAAGTGCTGGGATTACAGGCGCGAGTCACCATGCCTAGCCCCAAAGAAGATTTATGAATTTATATTTTGAAAATAATTTTACTTCTCGGAAATAAAACCTAGGAAGAAACGCAACATAGTGTCATCATTTATTATTCTAGGATGATCAATTAATGGGTGATTTTTATTTTGTTGTTTCCATTTTTCTCTACTTTTTTTTTTTAATTTTGAAAGCAAAAACATTAATTTAACAACATTTTTAAAGACCTGATATCTAAAGATGAGCCAAGTATAATAAATGAAGGTGACAAAATATGTATTATAAATGACACATGAGTAAGTAATCTGTGAAAAAAATCCTTTCTAATGACAGGTACAGAAGCAGCTGAGAAAGAGCTCTTGATGTAAAAAAAAAAAAAAAAAGAAAGAAATAGATACATTCCTTCAATATCTAATAAATATCTTTTCACCTTTGTGCTTTTGCTCTGCTTTTCCAGGCCTAAAATGTTCTTCACATCCTATTTCTGCACATCTAAATACTAGTTGTTCAAGGTCTGAATCACATCCTCACCTCAACTTGAAGAATCCTGTATCCAAAGCTGGAATAGTCCTTCCTTTCTCATTCTCCTTAACTTATTGTGAATCCTTTAGTTGATCATTTATTCAAATAAAAACACTGAGCATTAACCTTTATCCTAGCTTTGACAATATGAGAATGAGAGACTGCTTATATCCATGAGAATTGTAGACTTAAAGAAAAGGGACACAGGGACACTCTCAACACAACCACATCACACTACGATGCAGGTGGTGCAGTATAGAAGAAGTAGGACATCATTTCAGAGAGACTTCCTAAAGGAGATAATTTGGAAAAATCATGGAAGAATGGAAGGACGATGAGAAGTTATTCACAAGGAGAAGTGATAATAAGGACTAGAATGTCAGAGAGGGGGAACGAATATATCCAAGGGATATGTTCCAAAGGGAGCAACATATCCAAGTTTCTCCATTTCTGTTGCTCTCTGTGAAGAAATCAATTTTTCAGGAAATGGAGACAACTGGTCAAGACAAGCATAGTCTCCTCCACCATTCAATTGCTCAAACGAGAAACCTAGCATCACCCTTGATCCTACCCTGCCCCTCATATTGTGCAATCACGAATTTCCTTAAATACTGCGTGTACTCTGGGGAGGGAGCTCCAAGTTTCAACTAAGCTTTCTGGCTGACACTTGCCACCAGTCTCCTTCGAAAGCTGTGGGACAGGAGCCACATCTTACCAGCAGGGCACTGTCAGGCAACAGGATATACCCATGGGAGTCCTTGCAGGAGTTCATGAGGATGAACTCATATAATTGGGGATTATTTTTTCTTGGGATAACACAGCCCATATGCACAGAGATGAGATCCACACTGCACAGATGTTGAGGCTTTTCTGGCTTAGAAGAAGTCACACGCCCAACAGGAGCCAAAATCTTTCCCGATGATTCTGTAAGCATAGCTTTCAGGGAACCCACAAGGGACAAGACTGTTGGCAGAGTTATGACACTTATGAAATCCAAAAGCATGATGTTCCCATCAGCTGCTTATAGTTCAATTCATCATCTCTTCCAAGGTAGTTGGGACTTATCAATCATAAGTCATCATGACCATGAACAATGTTGCTTGGTAACACTGAAATGCACCATCTTCATCTGTTGCCAGGGAACCAGAGCTAGGAGTTAAACAGAGTGGTGGAGTCTCTTGCAGCAGGGTGAAGGCTTTTGTTAGCCTCTTGGCCACACTGCTTCTAACATGTTCTCTAACACATTCAAGATCCTCCACCTTTACTGTCTTCCATCCAGTTAAGGCACCTCCGTCTCTCACCAGGGCTCATTTCCTAACATCCAGATTCACCTACCAACCCGCAAACACACACAGTCCTTGGAGCAATCCATATTCCACCTGACAACCAGAAGTGCTTTTTAAAATACTGTGACCACGTTTAAGCTCTGTTTAAGCCCTTCCTTTGGTTTCCTGTCACCTTTGGAGTAAAACCCCAAGTTATCAACATGTTTACAAAACACATCACACTCTTTTCCCTTTGGTTTTCTAATCTGCAACCACACAGGGTTTTTCTCTAGTCCTCAAATGTTCCTGGCACACATCACACACTCTTTTCTCCCACACAGCTGAGCACAAGCTGCTGACTGCACCCCACTTCCCCTACCTGGCCAACTTCCATGTATCCTATTACTATCAAGTATTGTTGTGAGGTGTAGTTAATACTTGTAAAGCACACAGTCTGCATTACATAGTTGTTATCCAGAAATGAAGGCATTAGAGAAGACTTTCTTAGTCTTCAGCCTATGTTAAATCCCCCTGTTATGTATATTCCCATTGAATCAAGTCTCTTTTCAGATCACTCAGCTCCTTTTCATTCCTTTCTCAATGTCCTCCCTTCACGCTCAACCACAAGCTCCAGGAGAGCAAATGCTCTGTGTTTACCACTGAATCTCTAGTGCTGGCAAATAGTAGACGCGCAATGAATATTTGTTTAGTTAATGAAGAAATAAATAATTACTCCAGTTTAAACCATGCATAATTTGGAGGATCCATATGAAAATATCTTATTAGAAATTTAAAAGAATCTAAAGCCAAAAATGACTGATTACTGATAAATCATTTCGAGAGCCATTGACCTAAAGATGAAAGTGAAAGATATTGAGATTACTCCAAAGCAACAAATGGGCAGCAAAAACATTCAAAAGCCATTCCTGGCCAGGCTCGGTGACTCACACCTGTAATTCTAGCTCTTTGGGAGGCCAAGGCAAGAGAATCCCTTGAGCCCAGGAGCTCAAGACCAGCCTGGGCCACTTAGTAAGAACCCCCATCTCTACAAAAAGTAAATAGCCAGCTGTGGTGGTACGTGCCTGTAGTCCCATATACTCAGTAGGTTAAGGCCAGAGGATTGCTTGAGCCTAGGAGTTTGAGGTTTCAGTGAGCTATGCTTCCACCACTGCACTCCAGCCTGGGTGACAGAATGAGACTCTGTCTCAAAAAGAAGAAAAAGAAAGAAAAGAAAAGAAAAGAACATTGGTAACAAGAGCAGAGACATGTAGATGGCACTTTTGACGGGTCAAGCAAGCTTTTTATACATGTATATGTATATATGCACACATACATATTGCTATGAGAATTAAATGAGTTAATATATGTCATGTCCTTAACAAACAAAAAGAGTAAAACCTACATAGGTATTTCTTATAACTAATACCAGTGAATAGAGGATTTAACCTAAGAATAATATTGACATATTGTGAAAACACTTTGGTGTCACTCTAGGGAAAACTGTGACATAAGGAACAATCTATGAACTAAACATCAGAGCTGAAATTCTGGGGCCTGCCACATTTTAGTTATGGGATGTTAACTTCTCCAACCTCACTCAGTTTTTCATTTATGAAAGAAAAAATAGTAGAAACAATCTCTTAGAGTGGCTGCCATGACAATGGCATAAGATAAACCACCCAGCACAACAGATATTTTATGAATTTATGCCCAGTATTCCATTATTGGAAAGCTAAGCATGTGGGAGTTATTTATATCCTACTGCTCAAGGTCATCACCAAGGTCTGACTGCAAAAATTCAAAAAATTCTAACCTCAGGCATAAACAGGTTAAAAGGGCTTTTCCCCTCAACTCACAGAGAAAGGAAAGAAGAAAGTATTTCTGTCAGGTTTCAAATGTCTTATTATTGGTTAGAGAGAGAACAGGCATATAGATGATTGATATAGGCAGATAATAGATAGATGATAGATAGATAGATAGATGATAGATAGATATGATGGATGGATGGTGCCTCAGCCTTCCAGTAAGACACACATTCTACTACCCATTAGTTATTTTACCTGATCCTGTCCCTCATCCCACCCTCCACCCTCCAACATGACCTATGTAACAAGCCTACACATGTATCCCTGAACTTAAAATAAAAGTTAGAAAAGACACACATTCTGTTTGTTTCCCCCAATAATAGTGTCCACTGCCTCAAAATAATTACCTTAAAGGGATATAATTACTTTCTTGTAATGTGATTCCATGTCCACCTCACTTCATTGATACTGGAAACGTGGAAATATCTGTAATTCACATGCACCAACCTCAGCGATATGAATTTTTTCAAGAATGCAATACAAGAATAATGTTGACCCACATTCCTGGCCATGGAGGTGCTCAGATCAGCACTGTACTCCTGGGACTCTCAGTTTTGCAGGTTACCTTTGCTCACTATCCTCTATCTGCCTCTCTCATTCTCTAGATAGTTTATTAATGCCAGTGAGCTCTTCTTTGGGTACGAGAGGCATCATGGAATCTGAGCATACACCGCTTGTGATTTTTAAGTGTAATCTTACTCCATTTTTTTCAAGTTTGTGGGTGATACTATACTTTCTCCTACCAGTGTTTATAAATAAAGTCATGAAAATCATGTGAAAATGCTGACCTGCCCCAAAACCTTTCACCGTCATAAAGTATCCTAGTACTTAGATGCAATGATCTTTTATTGATAGCGTACTGCGTACTTTCACATACCTGCTAAATCAAGAGTTCAGGGAAATAAAGGTCATTACAAACCTAATTGTATGTTGCTTTTAGGTTCAATGGTATATTGCTTTCTGTTTATCTTATTTTTAACAGCAACTGAAAAAGCAAGAGTCAGTAGAATAAGAAAGGCAGGTAAAGCAAGCAGGGAACATACAGCTGTGAGAAAGGTTACTACCTCCACAGACCACACCATCGAGGTCTTCACAGCGGCGATCATCACACTCACAAGTCCTGCCATACACCCGGTGATCTCCTGGAGGGTAGCAGGTGCATTTGCCACATTCACATTTACCTGGAAAGTATAAAGAAAGTGCACACTTATGAGGAGAGTCCCGGAATCACTAAGGCTTTCAAGGAGGCAAGCACATTATTAACCCCAAATCTCCTAGAAGAGTTCTAGTCTGTGCCTGAGAATAGTTACACAAATACACATTTCCAACTTCAAAAAGAAATTCCGTGGTGGTCTGGAGTGGAAGTGGCAGTCGCTGTCTCAGAAGTCATTCACATTTGCTATTCTCTAATTTTTGTTTCATTCATTTTTGCATAAATCCATTATGAAATTCTCTGGCTATTTCACATACAACTTAGCTTGATGATTCCTTGAACATAACATAATACATTATATATACTGACATAATTTAGCATAATGTGGTGATTTTAAAAGGTTTTAATCTTGGATCTATCTACTCCATGAGAAAAAAAAGTATTCACAGGTATGTTTCAATGCTCTGTTTTAGTGATTATTTGTAATCAGTTTTATAGTTCTTAGAACTTATTTTAGTACAGAACATATGTCAAAGCACATAATCTAAATATCTTTATTATCCTCATCTTAAAATTTAAAATTATAAATATTTTTGCAATGAATTTGGTTCATAGTTTGGGAACCCCTTAACTAGTCCCATTATGCTGAGTTTCGTCATGATTTCTTGAGTGGTAACTATGTGTAAAACACTATAATTCCCCGCATGACATCATTTCATTTTCCAGTACCACTGACTAGAACCATTTTACTAAACAGGAAACCAAGACGTATAGAGGCCAAGTAACTTTCCAATGGTGAACCAGCTAGGAAGAAATAGATTCAAAATTTACATCCATTCTCATTAACCTCAAAGTTTGTGCAACTAACCATTAAACCACATTGCATCTTAATATACACCTAATGCAGCACCAGAAGGCTATATGAGAAAGTAAATTTCTTTTGTTTGAGGAATCGCTACTGGTTTGCCAGAAATTCACTTGGGTGACAGTGCTCTGAGACATCTGTTACTCTCTGTCATTAGCCCAACCATCATAATTACACACCCACTGAAATAATCACAAGATGCTTCAGGGCTGACCTTGCAATGTTGTTAGTCACTCTGTTGCTGAACTTGTATCTTGTTAAAGAAATTCTGAGTTGTGGATGATGGGGGAAAGAAAAATTAGTATCTAGGATCATATAATTTCAGAGCTGTAATTAAAGATAATCTAATGTAATGACTCATAATATTTTCTAGCTGACATGATGGGGTCACGATCCCTTTGAGAATCTGGTGAAAGACATGGCAATACAGTGTTGTGCTGGCTGACCTTCGACTAATCTCTACTTGGAGGTAGTTCCAAGTTCAGCAGGAGGCAGGGGGTTCCCTCCTTCAACGATACTCCCTCTTCCTATACCGTGGCAGCCAGAACAGGGACACATCAGACACCCTTGGTCAGGGCTTTGATTCTTGAGGGTGAAAGCAAAGGCACAGCGTCTGTGGGCAACCTGGGAAGTGCAACAGCATAGCAATGTCTGGGAGCCATGAAGCTCAGCATGCAGTGGCTGGTGTTCAGAACTGATGGCAGCAGGAACTGGTCCTTGGCAGTGCCTTTCTTCCCCAGGTTGCTGCAGGAGCTAATTGCTCAAAGTTGCATTCGAAGCCTGAAGCCTTCTAATAAAATATTTTTCATCCCTTTTAATGAAGTTGGTTTCTTTGTTTGCAATCAAGAACCATAACTGGCAGAACACAGATCTATCCCTGGAAAGATATACCAATACACACCTTTTAGGTAAAATTTCAGAAGGATCCATGACTTTCTTCAATTTATTTAATAGATGAAGAAACTCAAGCATGGTGGGGCTAAATGATTTTTTCCCAAGGCCAACTCTCTATCTATTAGTAGTGTTGGTTTTAGAACCTAGATTTTCTGAACTCCAGTCACCTTCTGATGTGCATAAATGCTCTAATATTTTTCATGAGTGGATGTGCAAATGATTCCAATAATGCAGGCTGTGGGGAAAGAGAAGCAAACTGTAGTACCATCAGCAGTGCGGTCTGGATATGGTGAACTGTTCTTTCACAGACAGATGTGGGAAGCCATGATCATCAGTTGTATTATTCCTGAGCGGCAATGAATTCCAGTTACATAGACAGAATCAGTTTCTACGTTTCAGGGCATACGTATTTATGGTGACAAATTTATTCACATTTTAAGGCATATAGTAATTTTCCTGAATATGCTTTATTGGCTTCTGTGCCTCTTCAGAAAAGATGAACTAAACACTGGCATATGTGTTCAGATTTCAACATTCCATTGTTTTCATTGCGGATAATTTCTGTCCTCTATTTTTGTGTAAAGTTATACAATAAAGTGTTAATATTCTGCATCAGCACATTTTCTTTCCTGATAAATTACAATCCACTATTTTTTTTAAATATCAGAGAATATATTAACCAATGTTCAATTCTTTTTTCACCATGTATCTATTGGAGTTTGAAAATGACTAATATTAAGGCAACTATGAGATGAATTAACTTTTTGCATGTAATCCTAATGTAGTTTATAAGATGCAGTGGCTTCTGACAAAAATCAAAAATAATGTATTAGGATGGGCACAAAAAATAGAATAAGACATACTGTTTGGTAGCACAATAGGGTGACTACAATCAGTAATAACAATTGTATACTTTAAAATAACTTACAAAGTGTAACTGAATTATTTGTAACTCAAAAGGATAAATGCTTGAGAGGATGAATAACCCATTCTCCATGGTGTACTTATTTCACATTTCATCCTATATCAAAACATTTCATGTTGCCCACAAATACATACACCTACTATATATCCACAAAATTTTTTAAAAATTTAATAATTAAAATATAATGCATTAGGAAAGGCTAATTTATTGAAGACAGAGAGGTTAAAAAAAAAAAGAGTAAATTCTTCATGCACTCCGTATTTTTTTGTTTGTTTTTTTAGAGACAGAGTCTTGCTCTGTCACCCAGGTTGGAGTGCAGTGGTGTGATCTCAGCTCACTGCCTCCTGGGTTCAAGCGATTCTCCTGCCTCAGCCTCCTGAGCAGCTGGGACTATAGGCACACGCCACCATGCCCAGCTAATTTTTGTAAGTTTATTATTTTGCTGCCTCAGTTCACAGTTTCTATTTAGCCACTACCACAAGTCACTACCAATTTTGTTTCAGTCATTATCATATACCTATCAGGTATATTTCCAATCATTCTTCAAGGTCCAAAGAAAACTTCAATGAATCTGTGACACTAACACCCTCCAACTCACACACTTTCACAAATTCAATAAAATTAACTATGCTTCTTACGTGTCCACATTTTTTTTTTTTTTTTTTGGCAGAGTCTCACTCTGTCACCAATGCTGGAGTGCGGCGAGTGCAGTGTTGCAATCTTGGGTCACTGCAACCTCTGTCTCCTGGATTCAAGCAATTCTCTTGCCTCATTCTCCAGAGTAGCTCAGATTGCAAGCATGTACCACCACGCCCAGTTGATTTTTTTTTTTTCTATTTTTAGTAGAGACAGGGTTACACCATGTTGGCCAAGCTAGTTTCGAACTCCTGGCCTCAAGCAATCCACCTGTCTTGGCCTCCCAAAGTGCTGAGATCACAGGTGTGAGCCACTATGCCCAGCCATCATAATGTTTTGAATCAATATTTATTGAGCACGTGCATTAAACAATAGTCATATAGAAATACTATAGAAATATTCACACAATACATAAGCATTAATGGTAGAACTTGAATTTGAAATAGTATATCTCTCCCAGAATAGATATTCATTTCCGATCGCCCGTATACCTTCATTTGTGTTTTCCGTGGTTAGATCAATTAAATATGTCCCATGACAAACTCATCATCTGTATTCACAAACATACTCCTCTTCTTGGGTCTTTTGTGAAATTTCACAAAATCCACTTTCTTAAAACATGCATATGATTATGCAATTCCCTTGCATAAATCCCTCTGATGGATTTATCTCATGTAACCTTCAAAGCAAAGACTAGATTATTCAACAGAGTTTTCCACATAAGGTCCAACTTACCTTTTCAAGCATATATCCAGGAATTATTGCGCACTCATGTTCAGAGATTTTATGTTCCCTATTTCTTCCCTCTGTGGTGCTCACCACCATTTTCTCTGTAAAGTTCTACTCAGAGTCCCATAGCCAGTCCAAATCTAATCTCCTCTCTGAAACCTTCCTTGCCATCCCTGGTTGGTTACCTGGAAGAACTGTCACCTCTCTGATCCCACAGCCCTTTGTCCATACCCCTAGTAGAACACTGAATGCAAAGTTTAAACTAGATAAGCAAGTGCCTCAACCCAATTGTAAGTGATAAAATCACTATGGTCCAGACTAACAGTAAGATTTGTATCTTGTTAGCAGCCAACTAAGTTCTCCCTTAATGTAGTAGAAGGACGCTGACATACATGTTAATTGACTTGATTTCAGATAAGAAATTGAGACCAATCTTTTTCTTTTGTGTACTAAATGATATTATTATTATTTCAGTGATTGTTTTACTGCTATGGAGATACGACTGTGGCTTCTGAAATCAATATCAAATTCATATTCTCATATATGAGAAAGAAGGATAATGGAAATCTGCCTTTCCAGCACTGTGCTATTTTATACAACATATTTAAAAGAAAATGTAAAAAAAGAGATACCCAAAGAAATAAAAATAAAGCAAGTAATTTGCAAGAAGACAATTCAGTAACAGACAGGAAGGAGCATAGAAATAAACTGTGTGAGAAGAAATTAATTCAGCCAATATCATCAATATCATCCAACCAAACTTATCTGAAATTTACTCTACACTGAGTCTGCCTCCTCTTAATAAGTTTTAATAAAGTAGATAATCTTTAAGCACATACAAAATCATTCCAATGATATCATTTCATAAAGAACTACAATTTTTATGAATTATATTTTAAAGTTCATTATAAGCTATCAAAGAAGAATAATGAATTAAGGCAGATTTTTAGAAGTTCCGATCAAAATAGATTTTACTTAA